ATGATAATCCCAGGATTAGGTCACAAGAGTCCTAAATATCACCCCTGTGTAAGCTCCTTTGTGGATTGCTGGGTAAGCAGGTTCTAATAAATGCAAGAGTTGCTGGACACATAGCTGCTGGTTGTTCTTGAACTGGAAACGGAAATGATTTGTGTGGGCATGGCCACCAAGACAGGGGTGTGTTGCCATTGCAGTGGTTACCAGGATGCTGGGACTCTGTTGTGAAGAAGGCCCTGTCTCTCAGGGCTCAAGGTGCAGAGGGGACTGCAGACCTGGAAGCAGCCATGACCAGTGGGAGGTTACCATGGAGACATGCAAAGCACTGCGAGCTATAACAGGAGGGGCTTCCTCCTCCCGGTGATCAGAGGTGTTCTTGGTGGGGGAAAGGGTGGGGTGGGAAGCATTGCGTCTCACACTGCGAGCTATAACAGGAGGGGCTTCCTCCTCCCGGGGATCAGAGAAGGTGTTCTTGGTGGGGAAAAGGGTGGGGTGGGAAGCATAGTGTCTCAGCAGAGACTCTAACGCAGGAATGAGCATTTCCTGTGGAGGCCAGGGTAGCTGAGAGCAGAGGGAGGAGGGACAGCCAATGGGGAGTTAAGGCTGAAAGGTAGGCGGGGCCAGACCATAGCAGGCCTTCCCTGTAGCCCACGGAGGCAGTGAGCTTCACTGTGGGGAGAGTGGGTACCACGGTGGGAGTTGGAATAGGAGGGTACTATGTTTGGAAGGGCTCCCTCTGGCAGAGTGGGACTGAATCAGAGGGGCAAGGCTGGGGGCAGCGGGCTGGAGATGACACCTTGGAGTTGCCTAGGTGACCTGGGCTGGGGAACAGCAGTGGGATGAAGAGAATGGGGTGGCTCTGGAGGTGTTCGGGAGGTGGAATCCACCTGACGGGCTGCAGGTGGAGGAGGGAGGAGCAAGGATGGCAGTCAGGTGTGTAGCTTGGGTGCTGGGTGAGTAGTGATGCCACCTGCTGAGATGGGAAGTGGGGAGAGCCACTGGCCTCAGGGGATAATGACAAGATCCCTGTTGATATGGTGGAGGTGCCTCACTGTAGAGAAAGGGAGAGGAGCCCAGATAGCAGGCAGCTTGCCCAGGGTCGGCCAGCTAATGAGCAGAGGCCAGGCCAAGGCTGCCAGCGGCCCACATTGTCTCCTCGGAGCTCCAAGGACTGGGACACCCCAGAAAGCACTCCACCAGGGGGTTCTCAGGATCGCTGGAGTCATTGTTTTGAAGGCCAATGTATTCTGCAGCTTTAAGTTCTGAGATGAGGCCAGAAAATAGACAGATGTCCAGGACACTTGACCGACCTGTGTGCAACCCCCTGAAGCAGGGGGGTCCCCGCTTGCTGGTGCTAGAGGTGATTCCTGCCCCGCCCCACCTCCAGCTTTAGCCCAGCGATGGCACCGTCACCACTGCAGAGAGTGCTGCTTTTTGTGGAGGGTGAACTTGAGAGTAACCCTAACACTTCGGTTTGGAGGAGGCACCCCTGCTAGATGGTCGAGATGTTATCCCCAGGGTATAGATGGGGGCACTGAAGCCACAAAGTGAGAGTAGGATTTGGCACTTAAACCAGCGTCCCTTCCATTGCACTAGGCTGCCTCAATCCTTTTGACCTGGAGATGATATTACTGAGAATTCTGTGATCCCACAATGTTGAAGCTGGAAGGCAGATGGGGCTGCACAGCATCTGGTCCAGCGGTTCTTGGAGGAGGACAGTTATTATTAGAATCATCTGCCAAGACACCCCTCTGGTATCAGACACAGTGGGCCACACAGGGGCCAATGCAAGGGGGAGAAGAAAGACCTTGGGTGTACCCCAGGGTGGTCTCAGGATAGAGCCAAAGGGCTCAATGCCTCACTCCAGAGCTCCTTCCCCACCCCACACACCACCCTGCGTGAATGAATCTGGGTGGTTGGGATGTGAGGGTGGGGGCTTTTCACTTCTCTCTGAGGTCAGGGCATCCATGTCACCTGAGTCTATGATAGATACTGCCTAATGACCTTGTTGGCCTGTGGTTCAATGAGAGACATAAAGGGGCCACTGGATCTCCTACTGGCCGGTGGAGAACCCAAGAGTAGTGACCTAATTAGCACATCTTCTGTTAGCTTGGGTGGCAGGGCTACTAGGGTTGCTATGGGGAAGATGCTTACAGAACCCAGAATCAATGGCAAGTCCAACTTAAGAGAAGGAGGTAGAGGTGGTGATAAACTATGTCATCAAGATTCTCCCAGATGCAAAGGACACAAGACCCAAAGTGCATTGTCATGGCACAAATAGGAATTTACTGACTCATGTAACTGGAATGCCAGGAGGAGCACTAGCTGTAGGTCTTGCTCAGTCCAGGGACTCCGGCAATGATTCAGAGCTCCTTCTCCATCTCCTGCATCTGCTTTCTGCTGTGGTGGCCCCATTCTCAGGCAGGCTTTACCCCAGGCTGGCCAGATGGCCATCCAGCGGGCTTCATGCTTCTAATTTCAGCCGAAAAGAGAAAATGCCTTTCTATGGTGAGTCTTAGTCAAAATCCTAGGACTGTCTCTGATTGGTTATGTGCCCATCCCTGATCCAATATCTGGTGCCAGGAGAAAGACATGCCCAGATTAGCCAGGCATATTTTCATGTCCATCCTTGGGGCTGAGGATGGAGTTGGGACAATTCAACTTCAGGGACCGGGAGTAGGAGATGTATGGTTTCCAAGAGGAAAATTTGGGTGCTTTTAGTACAAGAGGGATGAATTATAGAAACGGATGTCCACTATGGATACTGTGGGAAGTCACCTCACTTCTGAATTTCTGCTTCCTCCAGGACATGTGCACTCCAGGGCAGAATGGGTCTCATCACAACCCAAACTGC